ACAACCCCCAGCTTTGAAATCTTTATTAATACTTAAGGGAAAATGGAGATTCGGGTGAGTGTGTGAACTTTACACCCCTCTGCTAGGGCTACAAAGTTGGGCAGTGAAGCTGGAAAACAGTGTGGGACCGGGAACTCAGACAGGGCCAGGAAGAAACACATCGCTAAACATCTGAGAACCCAGGCTCCCAGGTCCTAGCTCCCCAGCTAGCCAGTGGGCTAGGCAAATTTTGTGCTGATTGAGTCAGGAGCAGGATCCTTGACTGCCCCAAGTCTGAGATCAGAAATCAGTTTTAAAAGAGCCAACCAGTATGCCCTTATTGAGAGAATTTTTGTTTGCTAGTTGATGCATTTCTGGGGGAAGAGAGAAACAGGCGCGATCCCGTTGAGGTCTATAAGGGCGGGTAGCCCTTGATTGCTCCAGAATGTTTAAAGTGCTCCCGTTGCCTGATACTGGTTACCCAGTAGGGTGGGGGAGAGAAGTGCCAGAGTGAGTGCTCTGGCTCTGAAGAAACGGAATGGAAGAGGAAAGGATATCTGTGAAGAAGGGCATTTTCTCTAATCTTTACCCTTATTATTATTTTTTTTTACTTCATTATGCTAGTGTCTCTGTCTCTTACTCAATTTTTCTCTTTTTCAATTTCTCTTTCTCCTCCTTTCTCTCTCTCTGTCTCTCTCTCTCTCTGTCTCTCTCTCTCTCTCTCTCTCACACACACACATACACACACACACACACACACCCTACACATGGGCACACACACAAAGTTTCCCAGGTTTCCCTCCCAAATCCAAGAAGAAATTGTTCCCTCTTCTGTATTTCCAGTCTGCTCCGAAATCATGGCTTCACGCCTTTCTCCTGCTTCTCTTTTCCCAGACCCCAAAGTCTCCCCTCAGACTGCTCTGGCCTCCCCCACCCCAAGTTCCTTGCCCAAACTCCTCACTACCAGCCTTTGTCCCCTGAAGTTTGAAAAGCCCCTGGCCAGCAGCAACACCTCAGTCCAAACGGGGGCCCTCAGGGGTGCCCGTTCCACCCTCCGTCCTCCAGCCTCCCAGCCCTAATCAGAGGGCAGCCCGCCTGCTGGCCAGAGACCTCTGAGAAAGGAAGAAAAAAGGCAAGACAGAAACTAAACTGGGATCTAATTGCCTCCCAAGCATTCCAAATGGGCGCTGTACTCCAGAATTAAGAAGCCCCCACTCCATCTCCTACCGCATTTGGGGGTGTATGTCCTCTGAGATTTTCTCCAGGTTCGTTTTCTTGCTTCTCCGTCCTCTTTTTCACTCCCACCCCACTATGCCCCACTGCCTTCTGTAGCCCGAGGGACCACAAAGGGTTGAGGAGGCTTGAGGAAGGGAGGGGTCTGTCGTTGTCTCTGGAACACTCCTCCACCCCCAGCTCAGCTCCGGCCTGCTTCTCCAGCAGCCGGCCCGGGGCTGGCTGCGTGCCTTCTGGACTCTCGTATTATTCCTAGAGGCAAAGCTGCGCAGTCCCAAAAGCGATGAAGTTCTCCTCTTCTCTGTTTTACAATGACCTTCTCTAACCCAATGATAGTAACAGCTAGGACAGTAGAGTTTTGAGGTACATTCTTGGCTTTTTTTAAATTTGGGGGATTGATAGAAAAAAACTCAAAGGTACTGGTTTCTTTAAGCTTCTGGCAACCTCCCTGGCCTGAGTTACCGACCCACCAGGCTCAAAGTTACATGGGGTCTGACCTGTGTATCTCTATCTAGTGTAGAGATATCAGGACAGACATTTTGCAGCCACATACTCAGGCACCCCTAACAGGTCTGTTTGGGGGTCCAGGCTGGCTTGAGCCCCAAGTCTAGGTCTGACTTGGATGTTTTCTTTTCTTGATACTACTAATATACACAGAAAAATACTAATAAACACAGAATAATAGCTACTAATAAACACAGAAAAATAGTTCCCACCCTCCATCCTGAAGTCCCCCAACCCGTGCTTCCCCCCAGCCATCAACTTTCTAGGTAGGAGATGGGGTCCTCAGGACATTACATTCTGAGGCTCTGCAAGTGGCTCCTGTTGCTGGAGGGCAGGAAGGCCACAGGTACCCCCAGTTTATCAGGGTCCCCGGAAACCGGCTGCTCCAAATCACCTGGCCTGACTTAGCCTTGCCCAGAAGAAGTAGGGCCTGGAGGCCAGGGGCCACTCCCTATCTCATCCCAAAGTAGAGCCTGTGAGTAGGGAGAGAGAGGGAATGAGGGAAGCTTTGCCAGACACTGCCAGCCTTTGCTGGAGGGGACACAATAGCTGGAAGTCAAGTCTCACCTTTGTTGTCCCCAGTCCCGTTCCCTCTCCTGGTGCATCCAGATGGGAGAAGGCAAAAGCTAAGTATTCTAACCAGGAAATCACAGGGTAGTGCCTTACACGAAGTTAAGAGAACTAGTTTTCCAAGCTGCCTTTAGAGAAGAGGGTCAGCTTTCTATTTCATCCCCTAGCTCCGAGTCAGCAGTTAGGTAGAGTTGCAAACACTCCTGCTTTGAGAAATGTCCTGGTGCTCTTTTTGTCTTTTCCTTCCTCCCGGAATGACTATTCCCCACCCCCTGTCCCAAATCTGCAGACACCTACATTTTTGGCTCCTGTCTTCCTCCTACAGGCCTCCTCCTTGCCTTTTCCTGCCCTGCTCAAACACACCCTAAGAAAACTTTAGCTTTTGTGGCCTTCCTCACTTGTGCCAAGAGTCATAAATCTTGCAGGGCAGAGAGAAACAAACAGGGTTGTTCTGAATAATAATAATAACCATATTCCATCTCTTCTGCCAGTGCATTTAAAATTAAGCCACCCTGCTAGTTCTTCTCAGAAGTACAAATGTCCTTATCACCTCTTAGCTCCTTCTGCCTATCTGGAGGTGAGAATCCTAACAGAAACTTCTCGGTAAAGTTCTTTCAGCCTGTCTACTGCCAGCCAGTCTGGAGCTCAAGCTAAAACACAGAGTTCTCCTTTTGTCACCCTTTTCTCAACCCTCCTCCCCCTGCAAGATGTTCTGGGTTTTTAAAATCATCACTCACCGCTTGTTGTCTGTTCTCAAAAAGAAAAAGGGGGAGGGGTGTTGTTGTTGTTGTTGTTGTTTTAAAAGGTCTGGTTTTTCCCTCTCCCTCGGTTAGTGACTGGGCCTGGAGATTGGGGGGAGATTTGGGAGGAATAGAGAGGGTGTAGTGGAGGGAAGAAGACGGGGCTGGAGACTCAGAAGGAGGGAGCCAGAGTGTGAGGGTTGGAGACCCAGCCACCAGTCCCTGAGGAGCGAAACTACTTTCTAAAAAAGTCCTGGTCTTCCAATTGCGAATGAGTGCAGAGGGGCACCCGGCACCCTCACCCCCCCGGGCGAGGCCTGTCTTTGACTCAGCCTCCAAATGCTACTTCTCAAATTAGCATAATGGTTCACTAGTGGGGTATGGGGGAGCTGTGAACTTCACCGCCCTTCCTTGCCTTTGCTCACCTCTTCCTCCCTGTCCCCCCAATCTAGATTTAAATTTTTACCCGTTCTTAAAAAACAAACAAACAAACAAACAAAAAAAACCCTCCCTTCTTTCCTTCTCACTCTTTTTTTGGGGAGCGGGGTATTTTAAAATTTCCCCCCTTTGCCATCACCACCATCACCTTCCCTCCTTATCAGGCATCTAAGCTTGCTAAAGGGGGAGAGGTGGGGGGGTATGTGAGCTTGTGTGTGAGTGAGTGAGTGTGTGTGTGTGTGTGTGTCTGTGTGGTTTTTTTTCCCTGTGCAAAAGCAGAGGCCATTGTTACGGAGAGTAGGGCGTACCAGTCTTATAGGGCAACCACACTGTGGCGGCTTAGCCCTGCTGGAGCCCGGAGCTGGATTCTGGCGAGCTGAGCTGCCCGGCACCTTTCGGTCTTCTATTTTTTTTCCCGCTCCCCCACCCCCTCCCTCCTGCGCACCCCTGCTCCTAAGCCGAGTGAATTGAAGCGGACGCCGCGCGGCTCCTCTGGCCGGTCTGCCCCTCGGGCTCCCCAGCCGGGGTGGCTTTGCGGGGCGGGGGAGCGGGGGGCGACGCAGCTTTAAACAGTGGTCTTTTTTTCCTTTGCCTTCAAGGAGGGGAGATTTCTCGCCTGCCGCTCGCGCTGGGGCTCGATGTGAATATATATTATGTCTGCCTGTTCTCCCCTCGTCGGTGGCTAAGGTAAGCTGGACTGAAATAGGCTATCAGTTTGTGAATGGCGGAGAGTATGTCTCAATGATTTATGGCCCATATGACTCCAATCTCGGTTCAAGAAGAGTTCACAAGCTTTAAGCTTCCTTCCACGCAGCGACTCTCTCTCTCTCTCTCCCTCCCTCCCTCCCTCCCTCTCTCTCCCTCTCTCTCTCTCTCCCTCTCTCCCCTCTCTCTTCCTGCTTCTCTCCTCTTTTCTCCTCTCTTTTCTTTCAGCAGCCAGATCCAGGGCTGAATTTTCTCCCCGGCTGCTAAGAAAGTCTCAGCCTTTCTCTCTCTTCCTTTCTTGTTATTTTATTTTTCTTCCTCCCATTAATTATTTTAAGTCCTGGAAGATGGCCTATCCCCTCTCTCGGGGCTTCCCCAGCTATTGTTAGTCTCCTGGCAGTCCCTGGGGTGTGCTTGGCAAGGTGGGGTTCTTGGGGGGGCTCATCTCCCTTCTCCAGCGAGACCCTGGGGGGAAGCCGGCAGCCACCGTCTCCCTCCCTCCCTCCCTCCCTCCCGAGGAGCCATATGGAACCAGAATTTTTCCAACATGGAGGCAAGGGAAATAGATCTGTTTGGCTTGGTAGAGCTGTTCCCCACCCCCTCTTGTTCTAGATCCCAGATCTCGGGTCCCCTCGGCACCTTTCCCTCTTCCCACTGTCCTGTCCGCCAGGCCTCAGCGCCCTCCAACCCGGAGCCCTGCTGAGCCAAGTCCCGAAGCGGAGTTTGTAAGGCGCTTTTTAATTCGGTTACCTCCGGCTCCCAAACTTGCTGCCGCCCGCGGGGCTCGGCCCTCGGCCGGCTGGTGTGCTGGGAACCTGTCTCCGATAACCGTTTTGGTGTCCTGATCGCTTGCTCTTCTTCCCCTCCTTGGGCCATCGTAGGTGGCTGGTAGGTCGTCGCCAGCCGCTGCGGCAGCAGCGACCGGCCGAGGCAGCCTGGCAGCAGCAGCCAGGGACTACCCGGGTGCACAAACCTTCCCAGCCCTGTCTGCACCACCGGCGGAGTCTCCATTCTTTCCTATCGCGTCTCTGGCTCCTTCGCTTTCCACACTGGCCTCCGTCCGGCGATGGTTTGGGGTTTATTGCAAGGGGAGCGGCAGAAATTTCGGCCCCAGGCGTCTAGTTAAATTATTGTTTTATTATTATTACTATAATCATCATCATCATCATTATTATTGCTGTAACAATCATTTAGACTAAATAAAGCCAGGGCCCAGCCAGCCAACCCCCTCCAACGTTTTTATTTCATTCTCTTCTCTATTAATAACAACCACAACTAATGCCTGTTAATTAATTCCCCCTTCAGCCAGGGCTGCTCGGAAGCTAATTTTGGTTAAATCAGCAGAGGCTAATGGTAATAATAATAAAGGGATTGGGTCAGCCTGGTCAATTGAACTCTGGTTCTCCCTTGAAGGACCTGCTGCTTTGCAGACCCATGTGTATTTCCAGAAACCAATCGGAACTCAGGGTTACACTGATTCCTTTTTGAGTATAAATCTGTGCCATGAAGAAGGGGATTTATGTGAGGGAGGGACTTTCTTCACCTGCACTTCTTTTATTTTGTTTTCCTATGTTTAGTTTTATTTGGAGTTGACCAGCTAGGCTGAATGAGATTAAAGTTTTCCAAACACACATGGCAGTATGGAGGTTTTATGAAAAGTGGTGGTGAAGAGTTGGGAGAGAGAGAGGAAAAAAAAATGTAGTCAGAAGTTTCAGAACAAATACACAAAATCCTATGTTAGTTTGAATCTTTATTTTTCTGGCACACTTTTAAAAGGCTGTATTAAAATAGTTATTATTATTATTATTATTATTTGCCTCAGGGAACCTCAGTCAACAGGAATACCTCTGTTTCTAACCCAGAGAATAATATTGTTAAAATTGCTTTGTTGATTATTTTTCTCGGGAATAACTTTCTCTTTTGGAAAGCACTTTCCCTGTCTCAGTAGAAAAGTCTAGCAGTTGTAACTTCTTGTTTCTTATTTTCTTTGGGGGAAATCAAAGAAAACAGACTGTGAAGGAAAGGGTGGGAAAAATTAAGTCTCATGAAAAAAAAAAAAAGAGAGGTCCAGGGAGAGACCTGGGCCAAATGGTCACAGCACCAACTGGCATGGCCCAGGAAATTGAAACAATCCTGCTCCATTTGGGGGCCCCACAGGGCCATTGGCTGCCCAATCCCAGGTTTGGCTGAGCAAAGACAGGAGCTGGAGGTGGTGGTACCTGCAGCAGGGCCATGGACAGATGAGTCTCAGTTCAGCTGACTCTTGAGGTTAAAAATCCTCGGGAGGTATCTAGGTCAGGCTGTTGTTGTCTTCCTGGTGGGGGAGTGGTGGGAAGTGGAGAGGACACCTCACAAGAGAAGCTTCTCTGACGAACTTGCTTCTCCTGCATGTCTTTTCAGAAGATCCTTTGGTTTCCCTTCAGGCTAGACTTTGCTTGGGCAAGAGACCTAAACCGACTTGGAAGGAGGCAAAGGCTGGAAGCACAGAAGCCTCTGGGCTCAGAGGAGGGTGTTGATGATGCTTTTATTTTGGAGTCTCCTAGTGTCCCCTCCCTTGAGCCATCCTATCCCAGAGTTGGGGAGGAGAGAGAGGGAGAGAGGAACTAGGGGAGGTGAGGGGTTAGTGCACAGGCAGGAGAGAAGCAATGGCCTTTGCCATAGATTCTACATCTAGGCAGTCTTGAAAGGCATATAGTATTTATTTGTTTATTTTTTTAGTGGAAATGAAAACTGGTGGGCTTTTTTTCCTCGGCATCTGCTTTGGAGATGTTGGGGAGGGGAGAAGAAAAAACCCTATTGATGTCAGTTCCCTTTTCAGTTCCTAAGATGGATTCGAGCCCCAGTCCTCTTCTCCGCCTTGTGTCTCTTCTCTCGCCCCGCAGGTCAGCCTCTTGGAACAGACCCTGGAGGAGGGGGGCAGAGAGGGGAGGGGGTTGGGGGGGGTCCGGCGTGTCACGTGACCCCCAGGGTTGCCAATGTCCGGTCCTGAGGGTATCAGGCCTTTCCAAGTTGCCACCCACTGCCCAGGCCTCACCCAGCGATGCAGAAAGCCACCTACTACGACAACGCTGCGGCTGCTCTCTTCGGAGGCTATTCCTCGTACCCTGGCAGCAATGGCTTCGGCTTCGACGGCCCCCCCCAACCCCCATTTCAGGCCGCCACGCACCTGGAGGGCGACTACCAGCGCTCAGCATGCTCGCTGCAGTCCCTGGGCAACGGTGCCCCACATGCCAAGAGCAAGGAGCTCAACGGCAGCTGCATGAGGCCGGGTCTGGCCCCCGAGCCCCTGCCCGCTCCGCCCGGCTCACCCCCGCCCAGCGCCGCACCTACCAGTGCCACTAGCAACAGCAGTAATGGGGGCGGGCCCAGCAAAAGTGGTCCCCCAAAGTGCGGTCCCGGCACCAACTCCACCCTCACCAAACAGATATTCCCCTGGATGAAAGAGTCGAGGCAAACGTCCAAGCTGAAAAACAGCTCCCCCGGCACAGGTACCAGTTCTCTGCCTTCCTTGTCCTCAGCTTTTGTCCGAGCCAGGAATGTCACTGTTATTCTAGCATCCAGCCCCTAGGCGCCCAGGAGGCTGCCTGGGAACAATATTAGGTGGCCGGCGGGTACATTTTTGATACCCCCACCCCCTAATGACCCTTTACCCTGCCAACACCCTCCTCCCTCTAGCCGCCCTCCACCAGAGCTTCTGAAAGCTCCAGAAGGCCAGGTCCATGGCCTCAAAGCCTTTCCCAAGGCCACAGAGCCAAGACGAGGCGCTGCCAGGAGGATGCAGAGTCGTCAAGGATTGATTATTATTAAGTATGATTACTGTGGGTATTAATCACAATCGCTCGGACGGCCCAGGGTCCCGGCCTCCAGGCACGGCAGCCTCTTCGTGCCACACTTCTTGCCCACGAGTGTCCAGATTACCCCGAGGGTTCTCCTCAGTCTCCCATCCTGTCCTCAGGACGGGGTGGGCAGGGAGGGGAAATGTGTTCCCTGACCTGGAATTGGGGATAGAGGGGAGAAAGCACGCACGCGAAAATCCAGCCCTAAATAAATGGCCATGCGGCTCTGTCTGCGTGACATGATCAAATTTTCATAAGCTGGGGCAGCGAAAGGAGAACAGGTCTCTTAATAAATGCCACTATTATAGAGTGTCCGCTAATGCGACGGGCGGTGGGGTGGGGGAGTGAGGAGGAGGCGGGGACGCGAAGGGGAGGGCAGCGGGGGCTCCGAGTCCAGGCCTGGATTTATTAAGAAACGATGCATTCAATTTCGGCGTGTTCAGTAATTATCTTTTATTTCATTTTCTCCCCTTCCCACCCCTCCCCCTCGAATCCAGCAGAGGGCTGTGGTGGTGGCGGCGGCGGCGGTGGCGGTGGCGGCGGCAGTGGTGGCAGCGGGGGCGGTGGCGGCGGCGGCGGCGGGGGAGGGGACAAGAGCCCCCCGGGGTCGGCGGCGTCCAAGCGGGCGCGGACGGCATACACGAGCGCGCAGCTGGTGGAGCTGGAGAAGGAGTTCCATTTTAACCGCTACCTGTGCCGGCCTCGCCGTGTGGAGATGGCCAACCTGCTGAACCTCAGCGAGCGGCAGATCAAGATCTGGTTCCAGAACCGGCGCATGAAGTACAAGAAGGACCAGAAGGCCAAGGGACTGGCCTCGTCGTCAGGGGGCCCATCTCCAGCTGGCAGTCCCCCGCAGCCCATGCAGTCCACGGCCGGCTTCATGAACGCCTTACACTCCATGACCCCCAGCTACGAGAGCCCGTCCCCACCCGCCTTCGGTAAAGCCCACCAGAATGCCTACGCGCTGCCCTCCAACTACCAGCCCCCTCTCAAAGGCTGCGGCGCCCCGCAGAAGTACCCTCCGACCCCGGCGCCCGAGTATGAGCCGCACGTCCTCCAAGCCAACGGGGGCGCCTACGGGACGCCCACCATGCAGGGCAGTCCGGTGTATGTGGGCGGGGGCGGCTACGCGGATCCACTGCCGCCCCCTGCCGGCCCCTCCCTCTATGGCCTCAACCACCTTTCCCATCATCCTTCCGGGAACCTGGACTACAACGGGGCGCCCCCTATGGCGCCCAGCCAGCACCACGGACCCTGCGACCCCCACCCCACCTACACAGACCTCTCCTCTCACCACGCGCCTCCTCCTCAGGGTAGAATCCAAGAAGCGCCCAAATTAACACACCTGTGATGGGAAAAGGCGGACGAGGGTTAGGAGATGGGGAGGAAGAGGGAGACTGTGGAGCTCTGGGGGGCAGTTTGGAGGTCTGAAAGAGGGACCAGGGAGGTGGTAGCTAGGCTTCCTGGTCAGAACGGGCCTGGAGCTCCTTCCCCTCCCCCTGGCCTGAGAGATTGCTTTTAAGTCCACCCCTTGTTCCATCTGCCTGCCAACCCATCGGAAAGGAATCCACAGCAGATTGGAGATGACCCCGTCAACCCCAGGGCTCCAGCACTACCAAGCTGGAATTCCACGCCCTGGAGTGGGGTAGAGGAAGACAAGATAGGATGAGGCAGAGAAGCACATTTTACAAACCAGACGAGATGGCTAGGCCATCACCAACCAACGGACTTACCTTACATCTTTGTAGGTAATTCCCCCCAAATCTTGATTTTTTTCAGTTATCCTTTAAAAAACAAGAAAACACATTTCAAACCCAAAGGGCACAAAGCACGTTCCCTTCCAACTTTCCCAAAACCTCAAATTTGTTTCCATTTATTTGAAGTTTATTGAGGTATCTACCCCCTCCATTTCTAGCCCCAGGTTTTTCTGCTCTAGGACATTGATATCTATACATCCCACCCCCATCAATTACAATTTTTAGAGGGCTCAGGGATGGTGAAAGATCCTGAAAGAGCTGCCTATATTATAAATTATATATTTTTTTCTTTTAAGGAAAAGTGTGTAGGCTAGGGCAGGCAGGTTGTTAGGACTGAAGGTTTGCCCATTCTGCTGCCTCCATCTCAGCTCCAGCTCCATCCCCCTCTCTCCACAGAAAGCAGTTGGTGACACGAGGTTCTATACTTTTCTTTTCTTCTGTTGCTCTCTTGACTTAACGTGAAAACAGGGTATATTTGAACAAACTGTCTGTCCCAGGCAGGGGCTGGGCAGGGCCTGCGTGCCTTGCTCAGCCTCCTGACAGGACACTTTTGTTGCACTTAGAGTTTACATTTTAATGGATGTAAAAACAACTGTGAGAGATGTCTGGGCCTGCAGAAGTCCAGCATTGCTCAAAAAAGCGTGTGTTCTAGTGAACATTTTCATATATATTTATTGGTTATAGCCTGTTAAAATATTTTCTTTTTTGTATTATTTATCCCCCTACATTATGTATTTATATGAGGGAAAAAAAAGGAAAAAATTGTACTTTTTTAGTATTTACTTGTTATAAAGGACATTGTGTTTCCTGTCATGTAAAACCAGCTATTTTAGTTACTATTGTACTCTAGAAAAGAGCTGTAGATTTATGTTAAACTCGTACTTATGAGCAATTGTAATTAGTTCTAAAAGGCATGAACTCAGCTCCTGATTGTCACTGTATAGTCCTGAATTTGTAGAACTAGAGTTAATTCCCTCTTGGAACTTTCTTTGTTCTTCAGTAGTTACTTTTTTCCTTACCTAAAAGGGTTGTCTGTCAAACAATTCTTGAATAAACTTTCTGTTATCAATTTTATCTTGTCCTGGTGGTCCAATTTAGATAGCAGAGCAAGGCTGTTGACTGCCAAATTTCCCCCAAGGGAAGAAGGACAAGGACATTAAAGACCCTTCCCTGGCCTTTTTGTCCACTGCCCAGGTTCCGGTCTCCCCCTTGATATGTCTTAAGTTTAAATACCATTTTCTCACTCATAAGAGCCTGTAACATTTTGCCAACTTCTTTAGCTGTGGTTTAAGTGACAAGTTGGGAGAAGTAAGGGGGACTCTTGGGTGCTCTCTGTAGGTTTTTCTGTTTGGCCTCTATGCCTCTAGGTTTTTCATTCATTGGCCTTTCGTCTGTTAGTGCCTTTGGCCACAATCTCCATGCACCACCCCCCACCCCTTCCCACTACCAACAAGAAAATCTGGCAGATTACGGTTTCTTCCACGAAACCTAAACTTCTTCACAATCCTCTTCCGGAGCCACAAAGAAGATGTCACGTGACCCGAAGCCCAACCACCATTGGGTCTAAAATGAAAACAAAGAAAAATGATTTAAAAAAAAAATCTGAGGCCTAGACTTCTCAGGTCAAACTTTAAAACTAAGTAAAATTAAATCACTAAATAAAACTTGAGGCGGAGGGAGGGGAAGCTCGTTTGATTTCCCCTGCCAGAGAAAGGGGAGAGGAGGGTGGGAGAAGCTATTGGATCTAAGCATAAATAAAATGGTCCCCAGGCTAAAGTGCGGCTCTGTTTCCACCATCCTTGGGAAAACTTCATTTCTTAGTCGTGGTTCCATAAAAGTTTTATCACATTGGAGTGAGAATAGAGAGGGTCTGTCAAAGATGAAATGTCACCGCCGAGTCGCTGGAGCCGATAAGAGTGAGAAGACAGGCCGGGCGCGGTGGCTCAAGCCTGTAATCCCAGCACTTTGGGAGGCCGAGGCGGGCGGATCACAAGGTCAGGAGATCGAGACCACAGTGAAACCCCGTCTCTACTAAAAATACAAAAAAAATTAGCCGGGCGCGGTGGCGGGCGCCTGTAGTCCCAGCTACTCAGGAGGCTGAGGCAGGAGAATGGCGTGAACCCAGGAGGCGGAGCTTGCAGTGAGCCGAGATCGTGCCACTGCACTCCAGCCTGGGCAACAACGTGAGACTCTGTCTCAAAAAAAAAAAAAAAAAAAAAAAAAAAAAAAAAAAAAAAAAAAAAAAAAAGAGTGAGAAGACAGGGCGGCTGAAATATGGAGCTAATTCGTTGAAAGAGAAGCGATGGCTGCTTGCTGAAGAGCTGCATAATTCTAATTGTAAGCGATGTGCCTGCATTGCTTAATTAGGAGCATATATTTGGTGGTAGTCATGGTGGGGGAGTGAGAATCGTTCCAGGCCGTGCCTTAAAGCGAGGGCTGATTTTCATTTTTATGTTGCATCCTGGCAGTCCAAGGTTAGTAATTATAGTCTTTATGCAACAATAAATAACAATAAAAAAGCAACCTGAATTCTACACCCTCCCCCTTCCCCACCACCAAGTAGGATTTTAACTGGACTCGGCTCATCCAAGCAGCAAGCAATTTAGCATTGGGTCAGGCTATAATTTAAAGGCATAAGAGCGTGCAAAGTTTGATTGGGATCAAATAACGCTCAAGGGTTTTTCTTTCTTTCTCTTTCTCTCTTCTTCCCTGAATAACATTTTCTGAATGATATAACTAGATGAAGCACCATGTTTGATTCTGGGGGTGGGTTGGGTTGCTTATTTATCTAGCAGGAAAGAGGCCAAGAAAGAGAATTTAGCTTAAGTTTGAAAAACAGAGCTTTGGCTCGGAGCTGGAATTGCAAACAAGAAAAATAAGAACCAACTTGGCTTGGTGTTCCCTATCCTTCTCTTTGGAAGATTCCAGGCGCTCAGCTAAAGCAGCCAAAGACGAGGAATAAAATATCCTTGCTGTAAAATTCACAGCAGGACAGGGGGGCGGGGGAGAGATGTCTCTGAGGAGGGTTCTCTTGGCCCCTTTTAACACCCAAGTTTTCCGCTGTTTGCTAATCTGGCCATAAAATCTGTCAGTAAGGGTTAGAGAGAGCTGTATTTCCTGCAGGGACAGTCTCTGCCCGAGTTGCCCAAGATAAGCTCTGGATCCTTCAGCCAGCTGGAGAAGCTGTTGCTAAACTTTCAGAGGTGTTCAAGGGGATGGCCAGAGGGAGAAGCCACTCTCAGGCCTCCCTGCATGACTTCCAGACACTGCTTACTATTTGGATTCTTCTATGCCCCATCCACACCTCTAAACGGCAATAATTGTTTTATTTGGAGCCGAGTTGCACACTACTGTTGCTGGCCACTTTGCCCAGGTCAGAGTAGCTCTCTCTGTTCTCAGCCCTCCAGAGCATGACTCCCCGGTCCCTGCAGCCCCCACCTCCAACTCCCCTTTCTTCATCCTCCGCTCCCCCACCCTCATGCTTCTACTCAGACTTCTCTGCTCTTCTTTTTAAATACTCACCCACGCAGATGTTACATTGACAGAAAGTTTCTAGTTCCAGCTCCGGGCTCAGTTGCCATTTCTCTGCTAACCAGCCTTCTCCTGGCTGGGCTGCAGAGAGAGAGGAGGGGGAGGGGAGGCCAGAGCCGTGGGAGTTCTCCAGGCAAACTTTCCACCCAACTTAGCGCTTTCCCTCTGTCCCCATTTCCCATCTGTTTCCCAGCTCTCCCAGAATCACCTTTCTCTTTTGCACCCCCACCCCCACCCCCACCCCCAGGCCTTTTTAAGAGATGTGAAATTTTGGCTGTTCCCTCTGCTTTCCCAAAGAGCCAAATTCTTTGATGCAATCGGAGGGAGCTGTCAGGGGGCTAAGATTGATCGCCTCATCTCCTCTCCGTCCCTCTGACCCACTTATTTAAAAATCTTCCCCCAGATCGACTTTTCATTTTCTGCTTTGAGGCCTAGTTTCCCACCAATTGCTTGGGGCTTAGAGTCTTGTGCCCTCTTTCTATAGTAAATTACAACACTCTAAACTTCAGACTATCTCGGTCTCCTCAAAATAAAATAAATTTTAAAAGCATTTCCCCTCAGGAGCCAGAAATGGAATATCATCTCAGTGGTCATTATTTCCACCCGCGCCATTTTCAGGGAATTCTTTCTTGTCAGGGATTTTTTTTTTTTTTTTTTTTTTAAACTAGCACAATGGCAAAAATGGGAGGGAAAGTCTCTTTGTCCTAGGGGAAAACTCCCCACCACATTCATGCACACACATACGCTGATCTGAACTTTGAGAGTGCTCTAAGTTAAATCAGTGGCTACCTGAGTTCTTGTTCATGTCCCTGGATATGGATACAGATATGAGCTTGAGGCTTGAGTGGGTACATGCACATCTTAGACTCTGCTTGTTTTCGGGGGGAGGAAGGTGTCACAGAGAAGCATGGATGCCTGAAAGTGAGGAAAGCAGGGGGACATAAGGGGAAGAGGCAGTGCTGCAAACACTGGGCAGAGACGAGAACCCAGGCCACACAGCGATGGAGGCCAGAGGCCCAAAAATGCCCCTCATGCTCCATCTCACTCTTATGTGTCCGCCTGGGAGTTCCTGTCCATTTCCCAAGATTTAACTGTTGCTTTTGGAGGGTTAACATGGGGATAGTGGTGCTGATGATTATAAATCTCTTTCTTATTTGCACCTTAACACTGACCTTTTTCAAAGAGTGGAAGCCTCTTTCGACTCCCTCTTCCTCCAACGCAGGGATCCTCACTCATCTTTTCTTGGGGAAGGGGAGAAGGGAAGACGATGCTGCTGGCCACGTAAGCCACGAAAGGAAAGCCTTAATTTACTCTATTAAAACATTTGGAAAAGAGGAAGGTTTCTCCCTTAGAGTCTCTTCTTTTCCAAGCTTCTGAAACCTTCTAACCTCCGAAAGGGATGAGGAAGTGGTTTCTCTAGCTTTTCTGGAGAAAGGGAGGCACTGGGGAGAGAGCGTGTGAGGCACTGGTGTAGGAATGGGGGCTCATGGTGTCCAGGTCATGGTCCTCTGGTGTTTTTGAATCAATTAAAGCAAATAATGCTCTCTGTTTTCCACCAGGCCCAGACGAGCGATTGGCGGAGGCCGGTCCCGTGACCACGAATTCCCTGTAATTTCGCCGGAGTCCTGGGTTTAATAGAGAGAGTCCCCATACGCTTGTATTTATCAGCAATATACAAATATAAAGGCCCAAATTTTTTTTTTTTTAAAAAAAGAGAGAGACCGAAATCTCCCCCTCCCAAAATCGCTCCATTACATAAATCTGGGGGGGGCAGGAGGGGGGGTCCCTTCCGATCCTCCCTCCTGACGCCCCCCCCAGCAGCCCCCTCCCCCACCATTGAAAGCCATGAATTTTGAATTTGAGAGGGAGATTGGGTTTATAAACAGCCAGCCATCGCTCGCCGAGTGTCTGACTTCCTTCCCCGCTGTCTTGGAGACATTTCAAACTTCATCAATCAAGGAGTCGACATTAATTCCTCCTCCTCCTCCTTTCGAGCAAACCTTCCCCAGCCTCCAGCCCGGCGCCTCCACCCTTCAGAGACCCAGGAGCCAAAAGCGAGCCGAAGATGGGCCTGCTCTGCCGCCGCCACCGCCGCTGCTCCCCGCTGCCCCCCCGGCCCCCGAGTTCCCTTGGATGAAAGAGAAGAAATCCGCCAAGAAACCCAGCCAATCCGCCACGTCTCCTTCCCCGGCCGCCTCCGCTGTCCCGGCCTCCGGGGTCGGATCGCCTGCAGGTCGGTAAGCGTGGTGGGGGTGGGGTGAGGGGCACCCTACAAGAGGGGGAGAAAAAGCAGTGGAAGGAGGTAAAAAAAAAAAAAAGGTGGCAAGCCTGTTGGGGTTCCTTACCCCGTCCATTCCCGGGATGGGCAAGAAGAATATCCCACTGGGGGACAGGCCTGGCCGCTGCCAGCGTCTTTCTCTCTCTCTCTCTCTCTCTCTCTCTCTCTCTCTCTCTCTCTCTCTCTCTCTCTCCCTACAGCTGATTTTGAAAGCTGGTTGGGGAAACGCCTTTTTTCTGCTAGAAGAAAATGATTTGATTGAGGTTTTCATCCGTATCTGTGTAGGGGAATGAATATGTTGTTGCTGGGATAGACTCTAGAAGCAGAAAAAGATTCGGTCCTTTCTGCCCCAACTCTAGGAGAAGAGGAAGAATTCAGAGCTAGGGAGGAAGAGGGGTGAAGAACAATCTTTATGACCCTCGCTCCGGTTGAGTTGGAAAGTTCCGAATTGAGGGGTCCACTGGGAGGGCTTGGGAGGGGGGATCTGAGGTTTCGGCGCCAAAGGGAGCGGCTCTCAGCCCCCTGCGTGGCCCGTGGGCGGCTCTGAATGCTTTGCCGTGACCTGGGCCGGGGCTGTCGACTAGGGAGGGAGAGAAGAAAACCCAAAAGCAGTGAAAGCGAGCCGCTGTGGGGTGGGGGCGGGGGTGGGGTGGCGAGGAAGGGGAGAGGTGATACTGGTTTTGGCGGATGGGTTAGTCCGAACTAAGGTTGGGCTGAGTACACTGCCCGCTTTGACGCCCAGCTTGTTTTCCCTGCAGATGGCCTGGGACTGCCGGAGGCTGGTGGCGGCGGGGCGCGCAGGCTGCGCACGGCTTACACCAACACACAGCTGCTGGAACTGGAGAAGGAATTCCACTTTAATAAGTACCTGTGCCGGCCACGCCGCGTCGAGATCGCAGCCTTGCTGGATCTCACCGAAAGGCAGGTCAAAGTCTGGTTCCAGAACCGGCGCATGAAGCACAAGCGGCAGACGCAGCACCGAGAGCCGCCGGATGGGGAGCCTGCCTGCCCGGGCGCCCTGGAGGACACCGGCGACCCTGTCAAGGAGCCCGCGGTCAGCCCGGGCGGCCCCTCCGCCTCGCGGGCGGCGTGGGAAGCCTGCTCTCACCCGCCGGAGGTGGTGCCGGGGGCCTTAAGCGCCGCGGACCCCCGACCTTTAGCCGGTGGCTTAGAGGGCGCGGGCGCGCCGAGCCCTGGCTGCGCGCTGCGCGGGGCGGGCGGGCCGGAGCCGGGACCATTGCCAGAAGATGTCTTCCCGGAGCGCCAGGATTCGCCTTTCCTTCCCGACCTTAACTTCTTCGCGGCCGACTCCTGTCTCCAGCTATCCGGAGGCCTCTTCCCTAGCCTGCAGGGTTCTCTCGACAGCCCCGTCCCCTTTTCCGAGGAAGAGCTGGACTTCTTCACCAGCACGCTCTGTGCCATCGACCTGCAGTTTCCCTAACCCGTTTCCTCCTCCCGGTCCTTTCCACCCCCGCGCTCCTTGGTCATCTACTGGAAAAATCGAGCCTCTCCTACCCCCAGTCGCATAGACTTATGTGTTTTCCTAAAATTCAGGTATTACTGAATTAGCGTTTAATCCACTCCCTTTTTTCTTCTAAAATATTGGGCACTCGGGCATCTTTTAAAATTCACACAGAAAAATTCCGTTTGGTAGACTCCTTCCAATGAAATCTCAGGAATAATTAAACTCTAGGGGGACTTTCTTAAAAATAACTAGAGGGACTTATTTTCCTCTTTTTTATGTTTTAGACTGTAGATAATTTATTAAAATTCTTTAATAATAGGAAAAGGGGAAAGTATTTATTGTACATTATTTTCATAGATTAAATAAATGTCTTTATAATATGAAAACGAGTGTTTGTGTTGGGACTTAACCTCTTTCCCCGCGGCCCCAAGGCCGGTCCTTACCCCTCCAGCACCTGTGCGAAGTTGATTCGGTTCAGCGGCCCATGTGGCAGCAAAGCCTCCTGGGCCGGCGAAGTCCGGGTGGTACAAAGGTGACCCGATTGATGGCCGCTTCGCCCACGGCTCCGGCAAGAGTCGGGAGTTTGCAGGAAGCTCGGTCACCTCCCTGCCCCTCAGCAGAGGGCCTCTGGTCCTGAGCGGGTGGTCCTGGGGCCTCTGCTTAGAAATAAAGGTGGGCAGGTGGAGGGAGAAAGTATACAGCGAACAGTGGAAGGTGCAAGGAGAGGAAGTCTGGGGACAGGCTTTTGGGGTCGTGGCGGGGGCAGAAGTTTCCTGGAATTGGGAAGAATCCAAGGGCTTCCTTAGACTTCTTGCTTCTTATGACCGAAGCCGGTGTAGGGCCTTTTTCTGAACTCAAGAAGCCTAGGGACGAGAGGCCTGGGGCTTGAGCCGGGCCTCTTTGGGAGTTGTAGGTGGCTCTCCAAGGAGTGGAGTGGAGTCGGGGATTTTCTCGGGAAGCCGGGCCCCGCACCCAGGGATGGTAACTGCTTCCAAGTGGGCAAGAAAAGAGGCCAGCTGAGAAATGTGGCGCTGCCGGGACACCCATGGACTCGGGGGCTTCTGGGCTTTGGGGGACCATCCGAGAAGCAGCCGGGCGAGAAGCCCAGGGAGGCCCGGCAGCGTCGCCAGGCGCTGGACCTGCAGGGAGAGAAGGAGGAGCGAGAAGAGCGGGACTGAGACAGGGAAGCAAAGACGATGCTCAAAATGGCGCTGGGGCCGGGCGGCGGGCGGGGGGGGCGCGAGGGAAGAGGCTGTGACCGCCATGACAGCCGCTGCGGGAGGCGCCGGCCCAGCCGGGATCTGCCCCCGCCCCCGCGTCCTCCCAGCCGGATTTTCCAGATGCCAGGGAAGAAGGGGAGCCTGGGAGTCCCACCTTAGTTTTTGTTTGTTTGATTTTTTTTTTTATTTTTAAAGTGAGCTCAACGGACGCTGAGGACGCGAGATGGAAGGAGAGTCCGGGTGGGAAGGGAAGGGAAGGAGAGCGGCGGGTCTGCGGGCCTGGGTGTGCCTCATCTGGTCTGACTTTTGATCCTTCGCTGTGGTATTTGAAGCCAGGCCAGAGCTTTCTCTAAATGCAGACCCACCTGTCTTGACCAACAACTTCATTTTCCATATCAACACCATGTCCTGTCTATCCCCCACCACAGCCTGCCTGGTTCCTTGTAAACCTGGTAAGCGGGAAGCAAGGATCGATCTCCCCCATCTGCCTCCTGGTTTGTTCTGGGAAGGTGGAGATTTAAAGGGCTCCGGAAAGCCATCCATCCTCCTTAGGTTTCTTTAATATTTCTCCCGCTCAGAAACAGACACTGCGGGGCTATCTCCCCGGCAGATGTTGCCCTTCTCAAAAAGCGGTTTATTTCCTGGGCCTCCAGACTTTCCCCTGGACCAACAGGACCAGGATTTAGAGTACCAGGCACCCAGAAGCAGCAATTGTCAGGATAAGCCAGGAGCCAACATAGGTTGTGACACAGAGGACTAGACAGGCCCTTTGCATAGTTTTAAATGGATCCCTCAGTGTGGGAAGTACACACATCTTAGCTGGAACTTAATCCCTTAAACTGTCTTAATACAGATTTCATCTCGTGCATTAAATAATCTTACATCATGTTAAATTGCACTTATTTCTCTCATAAATAAATTAATATAGAACAATTAGATGTGTTATAATAATAGCGTGTATCTTAGTTTATTTTCCCTCATAAAACATATAGGTATGAAATAAATTCAATATATTAAAGTAATAATACACAGCTTATTGGCTTGTGTGTTTATTTTCCCCATAAATAAGTGAATATACAATATATTAAAACAACGCTATACATCTCATTGGGCTGCGTGTTTATTTCTCCATAAAATATGCCCACAGGCAGTGTTTAACATCTTAAAAATCACAGCACACAAGCCATCTCTACACTAGCAAAATGAACAGATATTTCAGCTGCGGCTTTGATTTCTATGGACAGTCAAACTAGATAATTTGGTCTAATTAAAAATGTTCTTGCAGCTAGCTATAGCAGGTTGTTACATAGATCAAGAATATCAGAAGGATCTTGCTAATGGCCTACCTTCCAGTTTCTTTGGTCAAAAGGAGAGCACCCTTCCTCAGTGCCAAAAAAAATGCAGAGTTGGCTCTGCAGGAGATAATTTCTATCCCCCATCACGGTTTGCAGCACTCAAGGGCATCTGATGTACCAGTTCTCTGGAGCCTGGCTGCTCCATGGACCAGCAGGATCAGCACTACCTGTGAGCTACTTAGAAATACAGAATCTTAGGCCCCTGCATCAGACCTTCTGAATCAGAATTTGCAGTTTAGCAGCTCCCCAAGTGATTTATATACACTTAAAATTTGAGAAGTACTGCTAGATCATAGTGCCACCTTGCTTTCTGCCTTCCTCCATGCTTCAGAATTTTTGACTCACTTTACCCGGCCCCTGGCTTCCAATTCTCCTAACCCAAACCAGTAGCTCAAATGGCAGGGAATCTTTGTTCCTGCCTGGGCCTGCATCAGTCCTGATTCCTTCCTGCCAAAGTAGTGGGGAGCCAACCAAAGGCTCAATGTACCTGTTTAGATTCAGGTACTTTGGATATGCTAGGGGTGAGAGTTCTTAGTCCAGGTATTGCCTTTGGCTGATTATTGGAGAGGAGTTGAAACTCTTTTTACGGGAAACACACAAGGTTGCTGGCTCTCTCCTTTCCAAATTTATGAAACTCATCATCTCTGATGATACCACAACAGAACAAAGAGGCAATGCATTTGCAGAAGAAAGTGACTCCCAGTTTCAGTTTCCCCACCCAATTCAGATTCAAGGGAATGCCTGGCAATTTGGGATTCATAAAGGATTGCAATTCAGGATCCCTGTGTTCCAGATTAACTTCTTTTCCTTCTTTCATCTCTGGGGTCATCCTTTTTAGCTTAAGTTTTCCCAGTTGGCCATGGAGAAGTAAGAGGAAGAGGGGTGGTTCCCAGATAGGGCAGCAGACCCCAGTGGTGGTGGCAGATTAGAGGGCAGCTCCAAGTGGCTGCACTCACTTATTCCATCCTGACTGGGGCAGGGTTCCTCTTGGGTCAGGACCAATTGTGAGTGATCTGTAGCACAGAGTGGTTATAAATTCGCTGTGGTTGGAGTGGGAAGGTTTCAGTGCAGCCCGGAAAGCTGCTGGTCAGTCTGCCCTGCTCTTAGTGAATCATTCTTTCAAGAAGCATGTCTCATTAATATTACAGTGAAAGCAAAGGACCATTAGACTGAGGAATTACTTGCAATCATGATAACCCTGAGTCATTAAAAAAAAAAAGTTAACTTATGTCTGAGCAAGTCTCTTCCCCTTTCTGGACCTCAGTTTCTCTATCTGTGAAATAAATGGAAGAATTAAATGCCTCTAATGTACTCTACATTAATATATATGTATATTCTTTAGTATATATTATTTAGTCTTCACAAACAATGTATTAACTGTTTATTATGGCTGATGTCTTGTGCTCTTAAGTAATTCTTGGTGTTCGACAATGACCTACCCCACATGAATCTGGTGGGGGCAATTTTAACAAATTTTCTTTTATTTTTTGAGATAAAGTCTCACTTTGTCACCCAGGCTGGAGTGGAGTGGTGCAGTCAAAGCTCACCGCAGCCTCAACCTCCTAGGCTCACGTGGTCCTCCCATCTCAGCCACCTGAGTAACTAGGACTACAGGTGCGAGCCACCACGTTTGGCTAATTATTTATTTATTTATTTTTGGCAGAGTCTCACTCTTATTGCCCAGGTTGGAGTGCAGTGGCGCAATCTCAGCTCGCTTCAACCTCTGCCTCCTGGGTTCAAGCAATTCTCCTGCTTCACCTTCCTGAGTAGCTTGGATTACAGGCACCTGCCACCATGCCCGGCTAATTTTTGTAGTTTTAGTAGAGACAGGGTTTCGCTATGTTGGCCAGGCTGGCCTCAAACTCCTGACCTCAGGTGATCTGCCTGCCTCGGCCTTCCAAAGTGCTGGGATTACAGGCATGAGCTACCGCGCCAGGCCGCCTATTTATTTATTTATTTTTGAGACAGAGTCTTACTCTGTCACCCAGGCTGAAGTGCAGT